TATAATGGTAGTGGTGGTAGCAGTGATGGTAGTGGTGGTAGCTATATGGTAGTGGTGGTAGCAGTGATGGTAGTGGTGGTAGCTATAATGGTAGTGGTGGTAGCAGTGATGGTAGTGGTGGTAGCTATAATGGTAGTGGTGGTAGCAGTAATGGTAGTGGTGGTAGCTATAATGGTAGTGGTGGTAGCAGTGATGGTAGTGGTGGTAGCTATAATGGTAGTGGTGGTAGCTATAATGGTAGTGGTGGTAGCAGTGATGGTAGTGGTGGTAGCTATAATGGTAGTGGTGGTAGCAGTGATGGTAGTGGTGGTAGCAGTGATGGTAGTGGTGGTAGCAGTGATGGTAGTGGTGGTAGCAGTGATGGTAGTGGTGGTAGCAGTGATAATGGTAGTGGTGGTAGCAGTGATGGTAGTGGTGGTAGCTATAATGGTAGTGGTGGTAGCTATAATGGTAGTGGTGGTAGCATAATGGTAGTGGTGGTAGCAGTGATGGTAGTGGTGGTAGCTATAATGGTAGTGGTGGTAGCAGTGTGTGGTAGTGGTGGTAGCAGTGATGGTAGTGGTGGTAGCAGTGATGGTAGTGGTGGTAGCAGTGATGGTAGTGGTGGTAGCTATAATGGTAGTGGTGGTAGCAGTGATGGTAGTGGTGGTAGCTATAATGGTAGTGGTGGTAGCAGTGATGGTAGTGGTGGTAGCAGTGATGGTAGTGGTGGTAGCTATAATGGTAGTGGTGGTAGCAGTGATGGTAGTGGTGGTAGCTATAATGGTAGTGGTGGTAGCAGTGATGGTAGTGGTGGTAGCTATAATGGTAGTGGTGGTAGCAGTGATGGTAGTGGTGGTAGCTATAATGGTAGTGGTGGTAGCAGTGATGGTAGTGGTGGTAGCTATAATGGTAGTGGTGGTAGCAGTGATGGTAGTGGTGGTAGCAGTGATGGTAGTGGTGGTAGCAGTGATGGTAGTGGTGGTAGCAGTGATGGTAGTGGTGGTAGCTATAATGGTAGTGGTGGTAGCAGTGATGGTAGTGGTGGTAGCTATAATGGTAGTGGTGGTAGCAGTGATGGTAGTGGTGCTATAATGGTAGTGGTGGTAGCAGTGATGGTAGTGGTGGTAGCAGTGATGGTAGTGGTGGTAGCTATAATGGTAGTGGTGGTAGCAGTGATGGTAGTGGTGGTAGCTATAGTAGTGAGTGGTAGTGGTGGTAGCTATAATGGTAGTGGTGGTAGCAGTGATGGTAGTGGTGGTAGCAGTGATGGTAGTGGTGGTAGCAGTGATGGTAGTGGTGGTAGCAGTGATGGTAGTGGTGGTAGCTATAATGGTAGTGGTGGTAGCAGTGATGGTAGTGGTGGTAGCATGGTAGTGGTGGTAGCAGTGATGGTAGTGGTGGTAGCAGTGATGGTAGTGGTGGTAGCTATAATGGTAGTGGTGGTAGCAGTGATGGTAGTGGTGATGGTAGTGGTGGTAGCTATGGTAATGGTAGTGGTGGTAGCAGTGATGGTAGTGGTGGTAGCAGTGATGGTAGTGGTGGTAGCTATAATGGTAGTGGTGGTAGCAGTGATGGTAGTGGTGGTAGCAGTAATGGTAGTGGTGGTAGCAGTGATGGTAGTGGTGGTAGCAGTGATGGTAGTGGTGGTAGCTATAATGGTAGTGGTGGTAGCAGTGATGGTAGTGGTGGTAGCTAGTGATGGTAGTGGTGGTAGCAGTAATGGTAGTGGTGGTAGCAGTGATGGTAGTGGTGGTAGCTATAATGGTAGTGGTGGTAGCAGTGATGGTAGTGGTGGTAGGTATGGTGGTGGTAGCAGTGATGGTAGTGGTGGTAGCAGTGATGGTAGTGGTGGTAGCAGTGATGGTAGTGGTGGTAGCTATAATGGTAGTGGTGGTAGCAGTGATGGTAGTGGTGGTAGCAGTGATGGTAGTGGTGGTAGCAGTGATGGTAGTGGTGGTAGCTATAATGGTAGTGGTGGTAGCAGTGATGGTAGTGGTGGTAGCTATAATGGTAGTGGTGGTAGCAGTGATGGTAGTGGTGGTAGCAGTAATGGTAGTGGTGGTAGCTATAATGGTAGTGGTGGTAGCAGTGATGGTAGTGGTGGTAGCTATAATGGTAGTGGTGGTAGCAGTGATGGTAGTGGTGGTAGCTATAATGGTAGTGGTGGTAGCAGTGATGGTAGTGGTGGTAGCTATAATGGTAGTGGTGGTAGCAGTGATGGTAGTGGTGGTAGCTATAATGGTATGGTAGCAGTGGTGGTAGCTATGGTAATGGTAGTGGTGGTAGCAGTGATGGTAGTGGTGGTAGCTATAATGGTAGTGGTGGTAGCAGTGATGGTAGTGGTGGTAGCTATAATGGTAGTGGTGGTAGCTGATGGTAGTGGTGGTAGCTATAATGGTAGTGGTGGTAGCTATAATGGTAGTGGTGGTAGCTATAATGGTAGTGGTGGTAGCAGTGTGGTAGTGGTGGTAGCTATAATGGTAGTGGTGGTAGCAGTGATGGTAGTGGTGGTAGCAGTAATGGTAGTGGTGGTAGCAGTGATGGTAGTGGTGGTAGCTATAATGGTAGTGGTGGTAGCTATAATGGTAGTGGTGGTAGCTGGTATAAGTGGTGGTGGTAGCTATAATGGTAGTGGTGGTAGCTATAATGGTAGTGGTGGTAGCTATAATGGTAGTGGTGGTAGCTCTAATGGTAGTGGTGGTAGCTATAATGGTAGTGGTGGTAGCAGTGATGGTAGTGGTGGTATAATGGTAGTGGTGGTAGCTATAATGGTAGTGGTGGTAGCTATAATGGTAGTGGTGGTAGCTATAATGGTAGTGGTGGTAGCTATAATGGTATGGTAGTGGTGGTAGCTATAATGGTAGTGGTGGTAGTAATGGTAGTGGTGGTAGCTATAATGGTAGTGGTGGTAGCTATAATGGTAGTGGTGGTATAATGGTAGTGGTGGTAGCTATAATGGTAGTGGTGGTAGCTATGATGGTAGTGGTGGTAGCTATAATGGTAGTGGTGGTAGCTAGTGGTGGTAGCTATAATGGTAGTGGTGGTAGCTATAATGGTAGTGGTGGTAGCTATAATGGTAGTGGTGGTAGCTATAATGGTAGTGGTGGTAGCTATAATGGTAGTGGTGGTAGTAATGGTAGTGGTGGTAGCTATAATGGTAGTGGTGGTAGCAGTAATGGTAGTGGTGGTAGCTATAATGGTAGTGGTGGTAGCTATAATGGTAGTGGTGGTAGCTATAATGGTAGTGGTGGTAGCTATAATGGTAGTGGTGGTAGCTATAATGGTAGTGGTGGTAGTGATGGTAGTGGTGGTAGCTATAATGGTAGTGGTGGTAGCTATAATGGTAGTGGTGGTAGCTATAATGGTAGCTATAATGGTAGTGGTGGTAGCTATAATGGTAGTGGTGGTAGCTATAATGGTAGTGGTGGTAGTGGTGGTAGCTATAATGGTAGTGGTGGTAGCTATGGTAGTGGTGGTAGCTATAAGTGGTGGTAGTGGTAGTGGTGGTAGCTATAATGGTAGTGGTGGTAGCTATAATGGTAGTGGTGGTAGTGGTGGTAGCTATAATGGTAGTGGTGGTAGGTAGTGGTGGTAGCTATAATGGTAGTGGTGGTATAATGGTAGTGGTGGTAGCTATAATGGTAGTGGTGGTAGCTATAATGGTAGTGGTGGTAGCTATAATGGTAGTGGTGGTAGCTATAATGGTAGTGGTGGTAGCTATAATGGTAGTGGTGGTAGCTATAATGGTAGTGGTGGTAGCTATAATGGTAGTGGTGGTAGCTATAATGGCAGTGGTGGTAGCTATAATGGTAGTGGTGGTAGCTATAATGGTAGTGGTGGTAGCTATAATGGTAGTGGTGGTAGCTATAATGGTAGTGGTGGTAGCTATAATGGTAGTGGTGGTAGCTATAATGGTAGTGGTGGTAGCTATAATGGTAAGTGGTGGTAGCTATAATGGTAGTGGTGGTAGCTATAATGGTAGTGGTGGTAGCTATAATGGTAGTGGTGGTAGCTATAATGGTAGTGGTGGTAGCTATAATGGTAGTGGTGGTAGCTATATGGTAGTGGTGGTAGCTATAATGGTAGTGGTGGTAGCTATAATGGTAGTGGTGGTAGCTATAATGGTAGTGGTGGTAGCTATAATGGTAGTGGTGGTAGCTATAATGGTAGTGGTGGTAGTAGTGGTGGTAGCTATAATGGTAGTGGTGGTAGCTATAATGGTAGTGGTGGTAGCAGTGATGGTAGTGGTGGTGGTAGCAGTGATGGTAGTGGTGGTAGCTATAATGGCAGTGGTGGTAGCAGTGATGGTAGTGGTGGTAGCTATAATGGTAGTGGTGGTAGCTATAATGGTAGTGGTGGTAGTGGTGGTGGCTATAATGGCAGTGGTGGTAGCAGTGATGGTAGTGGTGGTAGCAGTGATGGTAGTGGTGGTAGCTATAATGGTAGTGGTGGTAGCTATAATGGTAGTGGTGGTAGCTATAATGGTAGTGGTGGTAGTGGTGGTAGCTATAATGGTAGTGGTGGTAGCTCTAATGGTAGTGGTGGTAGCAGTGATGGTAGTGGTGGTAGCTATAATGGTAGTGGTGGTAGCTCTAATGGTAGTGGTGGTAGCTCTAATGGTAGTGGTGGTAGCTCTAATGGTAGTGGTGGTAGCTCTAATGGTAGTGGTGGTAGCTCTAATGGTAGTGGTGGTAGCTATAATGGTAGTGGTGGTAGCTCTAATGGTAGTGGTGGTAGCAGTAATGGTAGTGGTGGTAGCAGTAATGGTAGTGGTGGTAGCTTTAATGGTAGTGGTGGTAGCAGTGATGGTAGTGGTGGTAGCTATAATGGTAGTGGTGGTAGCAGTGATGGTAGTGGTGGTAGCTATAATGGTAGTGGTGGTAGCAGTGATGGTAGTGGTGGTAGCTATAATGGTAGTGGTGGTAGCAGTGATGGTAGTGGTGGTAGCTATAATGGTAGTGGTGGTAGCAGTGATGGTAGTGGTGGTAGCAACCACATTAATCCAATCTTCCTCTCCCCAAGCAAGAGTTCCGCCACCTTGAGAAGATTTCTGACAACGATGAGGTCATTCGCCTTGCTCACCCTCCTGCTGGTGCTTGAGGCTGGTGAGTTATGTTCTTGTTCTTGTGGCATGAACGCTCTTATTAGTTTCTTTACGTATTGACAAATACATGCAACACCTACCATTTCATATTTTATACATTTTGAACCCAAACTAACTTATCAACTTTACCTAACTTAAATAGTTCGATTACCCTTCAGTCCCCCATAACTTTATTTCGGCGTGTATTAAGTAATAACTGAAGTATTCATTGAATTCGTACACAGTTGTTTTGTTCTTAAGAACATTGTGCCCCTGCTAGAAGCAGGAACAAGGTACATTCTCAAGCATAGTTGAAAAGAATATAAGAGTCTGTAATTGGGAATCCAGCTTGCAAGTTGAAGTTGGTAGCTATACTAGGAGCACTCATAATTGGCGAGAACACTGTAGTTGACGCTGTAATTATTTCAGACTCCATTTTCCTAACTAAAAGCATTAAATTGTTTACAAGTCAAGTACTAACTTGCTTCTCTCAGAAGCCAGACATAAATATATATGCATATTTAATAAGGGATTTAAACATAAAAATATTGTGAATTTCCTCACACAATGGCCTACAGAAACATGATCAAGTTGACGCCCTTGTTAAGATTTGCAGTAAATTTTATTTATATTTTTATTTATTATTTATTTATTTATTTACAAATAAGTATATTAAGGGTTTACAGAGAACATAGAAATTAAGATGATATACCATTCTTGTAAAGCCACTAGCACGTATAGTGTTTCGGGCAACTCAAAACTGCATATAGACAGTGTTGAACGGTATCTTAAACTATCAAACAGATCCCTTGCATTTGTTACGAGAACTCTTAGATGAATATGAGGAAATTCGAATATTGCAAACCAGATCAGCAGATCATCACCGTGGAATGCGCCAAACAAAACATCAGTCTAGAGCAAGTAAGAAAAGATAATCTTACCTTTAATCTTATTCCTTCCTTCTTCTTCTTCTTTCACTCACACAGGCGTTTCTTCCTCTCTCTCTAATACACGACTTGATAATGGTCCAAGACGGACCGAAACGTCTTCGTTTCTCCATTTTTCTAATGTGTGGTTTGGACATCAAAGTCGGTAGACCAACAGACGTTGGCAAAGCTCGAATTCACTACGGGCTCGCCATAGCCTGTGCTACTTGCCCCGCTTCTGTGCCAGGTAAGTCCACTTCGGACTCACCATAGCCCGTGCTACTTACCACTGCTCCTGTGCCAGGTAAGTTCACAACGGGCTCACCATAGCCCGTGCTACTTGGAACTTTTGTTCCGAGTAGCTGAATCTAAAACAACAAACAACATTTACTTGGCTACAGGTATCTTCAGCAGTTCGGCTTGTAGAGGGAGCTGGATGAAGTAAAGTGTAAAGTGTGTGGACAAAGACACACACTCGAGCATTACATCTTATACTGTGGCAAAAACTGAGTCATTTAGAGATAAATCTAAACTCACGCTGCATGAAATGGCAAACCATCTTATTACAAATAATGAAATGATTGACATCCTTGCACTGTATCTATGTTTCGCTTCCAGTAGATGAATGACACATGAGACCAATGTATAAGCCGTGTTCTGTGAAGACAAATAATAATTAACAGTTCTATGAACAAATCCACGAAGGCCGTGACGAGGATTCGAACCTGCGTCCGGGAGCATCCCAGACACTGCCTTAATCGATTGAGCTACGACAGGGTTAAAAGAGTTGAAACCGAAGTTCTACTGAACTTACTGGAACCTACAGCCTCTCCGAGACACAAACCAGGATTTTACACAACTCCCCCCTGCACCCGAGCTATGTCAATAGGCCGTTCTCCCTCTTCGCCTTTACATCATTACACACAGAAATCACACTAACGTGATATGTTGATATGTATGTATGTGTAATGATGTAAGGGCGAAGAAGGAGAACGGCCTATTGACATAGCTCGGAGAGGCTACGGGATCCAGTAAGTTCAGTAGAACTTCGGTTTCAACCCTTTTACCCTGTCGTAGCTCCGTCGATTAATGCAGTGTCTGGGATGCTCCCAGACGCAGGTTCAAATCCTCGTCACGTCCCTTGTGGATTTGTTCATTGGATTCATCACGGTAGTGTGATTTCTGTGTGTCAGCATTTCTATAGTTCTGTAATACCCCCAAACAGTTATGTATTAGCGAAAATACCTATCATAAATGTATAATGATTAACTGGAAATACGTAGATATTGAAATGTAACAATCTCTGTCACTAGCAGGCCTTATAATTATAACAGTGTGTAAGATAGATGTAATTGTTAATGTAATAATCACAGCCGAGGTCCAATAAAGACTTTTTGCCTTTTGTCATCCTTCTTGCACTACCGCAGACAAGATGAATGTGAGTATTATGCATAAATAACTAATCGCTCTGATGACAACACTTAAATCTCGTCTCTGAACTAAACTACAATCTCCTCCTCAGAGTGTTCTCCACACAAGTGCACCAAAGACTGCGAGCTGGACCTAAAGCTTGTGTGCGGGACGGATGGTCAGACTTACACCAACGCCTGCATATTGGAGTCCTCCTCCTGTCTCAATCCTGACAAGAACCTGAAGGTGGATTATGAAGGAAAATGTCGTAAGTATTCGTTTTGCTGTGTGTTTATCCTGATCAATTCTCAGTGTTATATAGTCGTAATGGCTTGCTGCTTTCTCCCTAATAATTCCCTTCCCTTCTTTTTGTTTGTACTCACCTAGTTGTGCTTGTGGGGGTTGAGCCTCGGCTCTTTGGTCCCGCCTCTCAAACGCCAATCAACTGATGTACAGATTCATGAGCCTATTGGGCTCTATCATATCTTCATTTGAAACTGTGTATGGAGTCAGCCTCCACCTCATCACTGCCTAATTCTACTAACTGCATTTACTAACTACTCTGACACTGAAAAAGTTTTTTCTAACGTCCCTGTGGCTCATTTGGGTACTCAGCTTCCACCAGTGTCCTCTTGTGCGTTGAACAAGGGGACACTGGTGTCCCCTTGTTAAATAATCACCCATGTTAAATAATCCATCCTTGTCTACCCTGTCAATTTCCCTGCGAATTTTGTATGCGGTGATCATGTCTTCCCGAGCTCTTCTGTCTTCCAGCGACGTGAGGTACAGTTCACGCAGCCTTTCCTCATAACTCATGCCTCTTAGTTCTGGGACTGGTCTAGTGGCATTCCTCTGAACTTTTTTTCAGCTTCGCCTTGTGCTTGACAAGGTACGGGCTCCATGCTGGGGTTGCATACTCCACAATTGGTCTTACATATGTGGTATACAAGGTTCTGAAAGATTCCTTACACAGGTTTCTGAAGGCAGTTCTGATGTTAGCCAGCCTCGCATACGCCTCAGATGATATTCTTTTGATGTCGGCTTCAGGAGACAGGTTTGGCGTGATGTCAACTCCTAGATCTTTCTCTCTGTCCGTTTCATTAAGGACTTCATCTCCCATTCGGTATCATGTGTCTGGCTTTCAATTTCCTCCGCATAGTTTCATTACCTTACATTTACTTGGGTTGAACTATAGTAGCCATTTGTTGGACCATTCCTTCAGTTTCTCTAGGTCATCTTGTAACCTCATACTATCTTCCTTTGTCTTAATCCTCCTCATAATTTTTGTATCATCAGCAAACATTGAGAGGAACGAGTCTATTCCCTCTAGGAGATCATTTACAAATATCAGAAACAGTAAAGGTTCAAGGATTGAACCTTAGGGGAATCCACTGGTGACTCCCTGCCACTCCGAGACCTCACCCCTCACAGTGACTCGCTGTCTTCTGTTGCTTAGGTACTCCCTTATCCAGTGAGTGTTTGTGTGTATTTGCCTAGTTGTACTCATCTAGTTATGCTTATGGGGGTTGAGGTTTGGCTTTTTGGTTCCGCCTCTCAACTGTCAATCATCTGGTGTACAGATTCCTGAGCCTACTGGACTCTTATCATATCTACATTTAAAACTGTGTATGGAGTCTGCTTCCACCATATCACTTCGTAACTCGTTCCATTTATTAACTACTCTGACACTAAAAAGGTTCTTTCTAATATCTCTGTGGCTCATTTGGGTACTCAATTTTCACCTGTGTTCCCTTGTGCGAGTACCAAATTGGTTTGACATAAATGGTATACAAGGTTCTGAATGATTCCTTACACAAATTTCTAAAGGTAGTTCTTACGTTGGCCAACCTAACATATGCCGCTGATGATATCCTTTTGAAGTGGGCCTCTGGGGACAGGTTTGGTGTGATATCAACCTCAAGATCATTCTCTCTACCTTATTCTTGAAGGATTTCATCTCCCAGATGGTACCTTGCGTTTAGCCTCTCTCTCTCCGCATACCTGTATTTATTCCATTACACTTACTCATGTTAAACTCTAGTAGCCATTTGTGGACCATTCCTTTCAGTTTGTCCATGTTATGCTGGAGGCTTCTGTTACCTTCATCATCCGTAATCCTGATTATTATTGAATTATTAGCCAAAATAATTGGGTTATATATAATAAGAAGTATTCACTTATTTCGCACCAAGTTGTTATTCTTTAAGAACATTCTGCTGCTGCTAGAGGCAGGAACAATATACATTCTTATCACGTAACCAAATGTTTCTACTTTGTAGGTGACAACGATTGCCTATTAGGTTGCAGCTTTCACCTAGACCCAGTGTGTGGGACAGACGGAAATAGCTACCCAAACTCTTGCGTTCTGGAAGCCACGGCCTGTTTGAAACCCCAACTAAACCTAAAGATTGCAAAGAAGGGTCTTTGTAAGTCCTCGTGAAGGTCAGAGTGACTTTGTTATTGAGTGCACCAAAGTTCTCGTGAGAGTGGGATTCTTATTGAGTGCATTGTTACATATTGTCAGAAGTATGATTGCTCTCTGTTATCTATTCCATACATCAAATGAACCGTCTGGTATTGAGCTAAGGCACTAAGAAAACAGCAACATAATGATAGGAGAAGATAGATGAGTATACTGGATGAAGTAATTAAGCCGCAAAGAGAGTCCAGACCCAATAGAAAATGAGAAGATTTGTGAGGAACTAAATTAATGCTCCAAAAATATTAATGGTTGGAACGACGGGTTCGAGAGAAAGCGATAACGACACTGCTGAACGAGAGGCTGAATGACATCGAAATGACAAGGAAAATAAAGAAGCATCTTTAATATATCTGAGTCTGACAATGGCATAAAACCCGAAAAGAGGGACAAATTTCGCCAGGGGTAACTGAATGAAACCCAGACCTCAAGATGAGCATAAAACACGTCTTCATTTCAGTTGGATGCGAGAGTGGGGAACTACCTGACAGATAAAAGACGGCAACAGTGGTACTCGTAGAGAAGAGTGCAGTCAAGATGTAGTGACTTACGGGCGAGTCACTGATAATCACGCCCCTGCAGGATATACTTCATATACTATACTGCAGGATATACTTCATATACTATACTGCAGGATATATACTGTAGGATATACTATATATTCAGGAGGTTAAACAAACATCTTAAGAGAAATTTAATTTCCACGTTAGCACGAGTGTAGAGAAGATATAGCTTATACGATTATCATTCTATTATGCAGGAGGTACTGCACGTCTATGGGTCATCCAATAAGGTTAGCAGACTTCAAGATGTTACCACTGCTAGGCTTAGGCTCGGCTACAAGTACCTCTGGGAATTTGAAACATCTGCTGATGTAGATTTGACTAAATGTAAACTCTGTCAGCAGAACTACTCGCATACTTTGCGTCATTATATAATGGAATGTGAAAACATCGCGGAATTTAGAGATAACACCATCAATAATGTCCAAGAAATGTGTAAGTACTTAATTCATAATGATGTGCTGCCCGAAATCTTAGCGAAGTATCTGAAATTTGCTTACTGTAAGTAATGCATGCACATGACTGTAAAGCTGCCGCCCAGTTGTGTGGGTGTGGAGCACATGACTGTAAAGCTGCCGCCCAGTTGGATGGGTGTGGAGCACATGACTGTAAAGCTGCCGCCCAGTTGGGTGGGTGTGCAGCAAGACTAGTAACTGTGCGACTCATCATAGATGTAAAGTGCCTTGTATAGTGACTGTTGTGAGCTTCTTGTTGAATCACTTGTGACACAAAAGATTATTGATGTGTGTATTTGTGTGGGTGATTAAATACGTCTGTGTATGTATATATGTATACGTATGTATAATATACATGTATGCATGAGTATGTGTGCATGCATATATAACATTAATAATTTTTTAACTGGCGTCAAAAGAGTGTTATTTGCTTAGCTAAACGAACTAGAAGGTTCAGTTCCTGAACCGATTATGTGCCTCTGTAATCCTTTACACCACCCCCCACAGGATGGGTATGGGGTGCATAATAAAAAAAGAAATTGATTATACAATTCTCTCAAGATGACAGCAAAAAAATAAATAAAACTAAAATTAAACGAGAAGGATGATTTGAGTGCATCTTCCTAGACACTGTCTCACTATAGACTTATAAGAAGACAGATCAGGAAGGGATATCTAGAAGAATGCTCAAGTAAGAGTAATGGTATGGAGAGAGGAGAGGTGAGAAGTGCCAAGGAGAACTCCAGTGGAACTAATAAAGAGTCCTATTATATATATATATATATATATATATATATATATATATATATATATATATATATATATATATATATATATATATATATATATATATATATATATATATATATATATATATATATATATATATAACTGAAAAACTATGACTCGAACCCATATATATGTACAAGACGCCTTAATCCACTTGACCATCACGACCGGACAAAATGAGGTGATAGCCGAGGCTATTTGAACCACCCCACCGCTGGCACTCGGATAGTAATCTTGGGCATAGCATTTTACCAAATCACCTCATTCTTTGGGGCACACGTGAGGAACACAAATGCGAACAAGCCTGAATGATCCCCAGGACAATATGCAACTGAAAACTCACACCCCAGAAGTGACTCGAACCCATACTCCCAGAAGCAACGCAACTGGTATGTACAAGACGCCTTAATCCACTTGACCATCACGACCGGACAATGCTATGCCCAAGATTACTATCCGAGTGCCGGCGGTGGGGGGTGGTTCAAATAGCCTCGGCTATCAAATCATTATGTCCGGTCGTGATGGTCAAGTGGATTAAGGCGTCTTGTACATACCAGTTGCGTTGCTTCTGGGAGTATGGGTTCGAGTCACTTCTGGGGTGTGAGTTTTCAGTTGCATATTGTTTGTTCGCATATATATATATATATATATATATATATATATATATATATATATATATATATATATATATATATGTCGTACCTAGTAGCCAGAACGCACTTCTCAGCCTACTATGCAAGGCCCGATTTGCCTAATAAGCCAAGTTTTCCTGAATTAATATATTTTCTCTAATTTTTTTCTTATGAAATGATAAAACCTACCCATTTCATTACCTGAGGTCAAATTTTTTTTATAGGAGGTAAAATTAACGTAGATATATGACCGAACCTAACCAACCCTACCTAACCTAACCTAACCTATCTTTAAAGGTTAGGTTAGGTTAGGTAGCCAAAAAAGTTAGGTTAGGTTAGGTAGGTTAGGTAGTCGAAAAAATATTAATTCATGAAAACTTGGCTTATTAGGCAAATCGGGCCTTGCATAGTAGGCTGAGAAGTGCGTTCTGGCTACTAGGTACGACATATATATATATATATATATATATATATATATATATATATATATATATATATATATATATATGTCGTACCTAGTAGCCAGAACGCACTTCTCAGCCTACTATGCAAGGCCCGATTTGCCTAATAAGCCAACTTTTCCTGAATTAATATATTTTCTCTAATTTTTTTTCTTATGAAATGATAAAGCTACCCATTTCATTATGAATGAGGTCAATTTTTTTTATTGGAGTTAAAATTAACGTAGATATATGACCGAACCTAACCAACCCTACCTAACCTAACCTAACCTATCTTTATAGGTTAGGTTAGGTTAGGTAGCCGAAAAAGTTAGGTTAGGTTAGGTTAGGTAGGTTGGTAGTCGAAAAATAATTAATTCATGAAAACTTGGCTTATTAGGCAAATCGGGCCTTGCATAGTAGGCTGAGAAGTGCGTTCTGGCTACTAGGTACGACATATATATATATATATATGTATATATATATATATATATGTCGTACCTAGTAGCCAGAACTCACTTCTCAGCCTACTATTCAAGGCCCGATTTGCCTAATAAGCCAAGTTTTCCTGAATTAATATATTTACTATATTTTTTTCTTATGAAATGATAAAGCAACCCTTTTCTCTATGTATGAGGTCAATTTTTTTTTATTGGAGTTAAAATTAACGTAGATATATGACCGAACCTAACCAACCCTACCTAACCTAACCTAACCTATATTTATAGGTAAGGTTAGGTTAGGTAGCCAAAAAAAGCTAGGTTAGGTTAGGTTAGGTAGGTTAGGTAGACGAAAAAACATTAATTCATGAAAACTTGGCTTATTAGGCAAATCGGGCCTTGAATAGTAGGCTGAGAAGTGCGTTCTGGCTATTAGGTACGACATATATATATATATATATATATATATATATATATATATATATATATATATATATATATATATATATATATATATATATATATATATATATATATATATATATATATATATATGTCGTACCTAGTAGCCAGAACGCACTTCTCAGCCTACTATGCAAGGCCCGATTTGCCTAATAAGCCAAGTTTTCATGAATTAATATATTTTTTCGACTACCTAACCTACCTAACCTAACCTAACCTAACTTTTTTCGGGTACCTAACCTAACCTAACCTATAAAGATAGGTTAGGTTAGGTTAGGTAGGGTTGGTTAGGTTCGGTCATATATCTACGTTAATTTAACTCCAATAAAAAAAATAGGACCTCATACATAATGAAAAGGGTAGCTTTATCATTTCATAAGAAAAAAATTAGAGAAAATATATTAATTCAGGAAAACTTGGCTTATTAGGCAAATCGGGCCTTGCATAGTAGGCTGAGAAGTGCGTTCTGGCTACTAGGTACGACATATATATATATATATATATATATTATATATATATATATATATATATATATATATATATATATATATATATATATATATATATATGTCGTACCTAATAGCCAGAACGCACTTCTCAGCCTACTATTCAAGGCCCGATTTGCCTAATAAGCCAAGTTTTCATGAATTAATGTTTTTTCGTCTACCTAACCTACCTAACCTAACCTAACCTAGCTTTTTTTGGCTACCTAACCTAACCTTACCTATAAATATAGGTTAGGTTAGGTTAGGTAGGGTTGGTTAGGTTCGGTCATATATCTACGTTAATTTTAACTCCAATAAAAAAAAATTGACCTCATACATAGAGAAAAGGGTTGCTTTATCATTTCATAAGAAAAAAATTATAGTAAATATATTAATTCAGGAAAACTTGGCTTATTAGGCAAATCGGGCCTTGAATAGTAGGCTGAGAAGTGAGTTCTGGCTACTAGGTACGACATATATATATATAATATATATATATATATATATATATATATATATATATATATATATATATGTCGTACCTAGTAGCCAGAACGCACTTCTCAGCCTACTATGCAAGGCCCGATTTGCCTAATAAGCCAAGTTTTCATGAATTAATTATTTTTTCGTCAACCTAACCTACCTAACCTAACCTAACCTAGCTTTTTTCGGCTACCTAACCTAACCTTACCAATAAATATAGGTTAGGTTAGGTTAGGTAGGGTTGGTTAGGTTCGGTCATATATCTACGTTAATTTTAACTCCAATAAAAAAAAAATTGACCTCATACATAGAGAAAAGGGTAGCTTTATCATTTCATAAGAAAAAAATATAGTAAATATATTAATTCAGGAAAACTTGGCTTATTAGGCAAATCGGGCCTTGAATAGTAGGCTGAGAAGTGCGTTCTGGCTACTAGGTACGACATATATATATATATATATATATATATATATATATATATATATATATATATACATATATATATATATATATATACATATATATACATATATATACATATATACATATATATATATATACATATATATATATATATATATATATATATATATATATATATATATATATATATATATATATATATATATATATATATATATGTCGAACCTAGTAGCCAGAACGCACTTCTCAGCCTACTATGCAAGGCTCGATTTGCCTAATAAGCCAAGTTTTCCTGAATTAATATATTTTCTCTAATTTTTTTCTTATGAAATGATAAAGCTACCCATTTCATTATGTATGAGGTCAATTTTTTTTTATTGGAGTTAAAATTAACGTAGATATATGACCGAACCTAACCAACCCTACCTAACCTAACCTAACCTATCTTTATAGGTTAGGTTGGGTTAGGTGGCCGAAAAAGTTAGGTTAGGTAAGGTTAGGTAGGTTAGGTAGTCGAAAAAACAATAATTCATGAAAACTTGGCTTATTAGGCAAATTGGGCCTTGCATAGTAGGCTGAGAAGTGCGTTCTGGTTACTAGGTACGACATATATATATATATATATATATATATATATATATATATATATATGAATATATATATAATACTCACACCCCAGAAGTGACTCGAACCCA